ATTTTAATAATGGTTCATTCCATTTGAACGAGGAAGTCATTTCCGACCTCAAAATCTCAGATGGCTGCTCTGTGCATGTTGTAATATTCAGTTTATTAGCACCTCTGTCTTTTGTGTCTCATTAAATCAGTCACAGTACTGTTAAACTGATGTCCACGGACATGTTTGTATGAGCAAAATAAAACGTAATGCTTCAGTTTCAGTTGTTATCGACCGTTAATGTTAATGGGTAACGGCTAACACGACTAGAGTTTGGTTTTCTGACTTGATGCTCTACAATGCGACCAGTTGGGTTGTGATTCCAACTCCGACATCAGACTTCCTGGCTTAATATTTACAGATCAGACATGAGAGTTGATCTTATTGATCTTGTCGTGTAAGACTTGACGGAAAAACAAGTAAGCGTATGTCCAAAAAACGTCAAACTATTCCTGTAAAAGCAAAATAACCGATTTCAACATATGCTTGTGTGCTCGCCAGATTTTGGGTGTGCGTGTTCACTTGCCAAGAAAATCAAATTAGAAGAAAACAAATTCCATCAAACTGAAAAAAAAAAGTCGAGAGAAGAAAACATAAAAAAAAAAGACGAGAAGAGCAATCAACGTGAACGACAACAACATCTGAGTTTGAGGGAGAACATTTTATGAACAGATGGAGCTAGTTAACAGTCGTCCTGAAGCCATTCAGTGCCGTCCAGTCCAGACCCTTCCTGCCGGCCAGATAAACATTAACAGCGATCACTCCATGTTCTGGCCTTCCTCAGGTACCGACAGTCCGGTGCTGGAGCTCCCCCCCGGCCTCTGAGGCTTGGACCACTTGGACGACCACCAACGCTTGGAGCTTGCTTGTGTGTAGTTTTTCCCTGGACGAAAACAGTCATTATGTCTCATGCAGCATTAATTTCCTTCACTTTCACAGGCTTGTTGTGAAATGTCAAGCTGTCTCCAAATTAGGGAGTGTTTCTACTTTATGGGCGAACCACTTTGTTGGCTGTCCAAGGTGAACATGAGAGCTGTCAGACGGGATAAGTTATGGCTTGGAATCCTTGATTTTCGCATAATTGCTTAATTAAGTATTTATTTTAATTGCTAGCTCTTCTCTCTGTGGCTGTGTGTGTGATTGTACACAAGCTTTTTGACTCAGGAAATCGTTAAGTACATAAAGCTCTTAGTAATTCAACATTTTGAGACTTATTTTCCATCCCAGGAACAGGATTTTTGGTTCTGACGTGTTGATATTTTGTGATATTGAAATACGATTTGGAAGACTGAATGACACCAGAAAATGTTTTCAACTTGCAGCCATTAGCTACTGTTGCTATGCCTGTTAGGTTTTCTGTTCTGGTGTTACACATATACAGTTAATATCACTTAATATCCTTACAAATGATTAAAGAAATATATAAAAGAGAGAGAATTGTAAAAACAAATGACCTAAACGGGAAACAATCTGCTCCAAATCCCTTAAACGTCTTGTAAAGTTTTGAATATTATATGAAATATCCATAAAATATGTCACTTAATCAGTTTAATAAATGTTAACACTACATTATCGTTTTACAATAAAACAACATGCATCTGGTTAATTTCTACCATTTATCAATAAATAAATAAAGTACACTTCCACTAGATTCACATAATTCAGCATATTCACCAATATGTTTGCAGTCCGGCTCTTTATGGCAGAGATATGAACGTATGGTTCTCGTTATCTCTGAAGTCTACATGTGCTTCCTCCATCCAGACCCTCTCCTTCATCCTCCTCTTCCTCCCAGAGTGTCTCAATGTACAGCAGGGAGCCCCGGGCACTTTACGGGCAGCGGAGGAACGAGAGAGGAAAAGATGAATGGAGTGAGAGAGACGTGAACTCTAACATGTGAACTGTAAGATAAGAATGATATATTAGGACTGATAAAGACCTTTTATTGCCTGTGTGAGCCAGTCGCTGATATGAGAGAGTTTATATTATAATATCTTCATAGTTTTCAGACTTTAAATATCGTCCCTTATATTCTCCAGCTCAAGTATAACAATCGATTTATACTTTACTACATTTATGTGTCAACTTTAGTTACTTGTGACCTGGAGATTCAGATTAATAATACCAAATATAATAAACAAATTAATTATGATGTATTTTTATGGATAAAGATAAGACTTTATTGATTGCTTGGTAAAATTCACTTCAGTATATAAAGTAAAAAAGCCCCAGTTTTACCAGCTGCAACATAAAATTAATATACACATTAATTGCTTAATAATTATTATCCATTTATATAATATACATTAATAATTAATACTGTGGTGCTTTAAGTATCTAACTAGCTAGCTAATCTACATCAATCATTAGTTAGCTATGTTATAAAAACACTAGCTAATAAACTGGTTAATGGTTAATGTAGTCAGTTCAGAGATATTGTTGATTTCTGACCATTAAAGTAAATGTTGGTAAAAAAAAGAACTGAATCAGTGTCAACAAACCTGTAAAGCTGCAAAGCTACAATTACTGGCACTTATATGTAAATGATACCCAATATTAACATTAATTCAATCAATTCACCCAAAACCACAAGAAATATGGAAGATAAAAGCAGTTAATTTAAGTTTGTTTTTCAATGAATCAGCAGTGAGTAAAAGTCGAGCCATAACAATAACTATAAAGTCTGTTTGTTCTGCTGCCGTTGGAGCCCCAGAGGTTCATTTAAGGACATTTTAAAGTATCCTTTATTTAACCGCTATAACAAATATTAATCACTGTCGCACTCATTCATCTCCGTGCCAACAGGGTCTCCAGTTTTTACCCAACTTCACAGCAACTGTGAAACTGGAAAGAAAAAAGAGGGACTTTTTTGTATTTGATGAGTGAACAAATAGTTTCAACATCTGTTTCAGGTAATTGAATATTCAATTACTCATCCCTTGTTGCATTCATTGGTTTTCTCTCTTTCAGGCCTTTTCTTTCTTTCAGTAGGCCTACATGTCATTTCTGTTTTTAATTTCCTGGGTTTTCTGCAAGAATATGATACAAACTTGTGCAGCTAGATATGATAGTACCATGTTATGGTAGACATTAAATTATGATGGGCTAGTGAGTGCAAAGTACTCCACTGTATAATGAGAGTTAAATGGTACACAGTTAAAATTTATGATGGTCTGATGAGACTAATATCCTGTCTAGATAATGTGTCTGGCTTTACTCTCCAGCACTTTGTCAACACCAAGGTCCAGAAGAGTGTGTGTGTGTGTGTGTGTGTGTGTGTGTGTGTGTGTGTGTGTTTACCTCTCTGTCTCAAGGTGATAAATCAAGTCAATTATACGAGTACAGCTGCTGCATAGTTTCAGGAATACGAGATCTACCGTGGATCCACACACACACAATTCATTCTGATTATAATGTGGTTTCTTGTATGTTGTATGTCCCTGAGCAAAGGCACCTCCAAACCCGAATCAAACTGTACTTTGCACTAGGGTTGGGTGATATGTTCACCATCAGTCCAACTGCAACGGCTTTAATCAACATAAGAAACTCACTAAATGTCAAGAAAGGAAAAGAAAAACACATATTTAACTAATAATATCTCAATAAACAGACAAATACAACCATACAGAAAAGTTAAAAGTTAAAGTTTCTCTCTTATATTTTTATGAGGTTATATTTGTTAAGTTAAAACACACTTAAAACATAACAGAAATAAGAATTGTTGTGTTTTTGTTGCCTTAGAATGAGACGTTTTTATCTGCAGAGGTCACCCGCGTCTTCCTGACGGAGTCCGCCATGTTGAACCGCCATGTTTCTACAGTAGCCTAGAACAGGCAAACCAAACGCCGGCTCCAGACTGGCTTATTTGTGAGTTTCGCAGCCCGTTCTCATTCCAAGGTCGTCACATATTTGACGCGAGCAGTGTTCAGTTGGTTGCAATCTGCAGCTTCACCTCTAGATGCCACTAAATTCTACACACTGGTCCTTTTAAAGGAATAGTTAGACAGTTTGGGAAATACACTTATTCATTTTCTTGCAGAATTAGATCAGAAGATCTCGCGTCTGTATGATAAATATGGAGCCGCTTAGCTTAGCACAAAGACTGTAAACAGGGGTAAAAATATCCACCCAGCAGCACCGCTAAAGCTCACTGAAAAGACTTTATATCCTGTTTGCTGATGCTGTGATGAAGGTCAATCAGGCTGAAACATTTGTATGTTTATCTGACTCAGCCAAAATAAACTGGTGAAATTAATATTAGTCAGTTTTGTCCTGGGAATGTGTGTGTGCGCGCTACCTTTTAAGCCTTTGGATATTGAACATTATGTCTTGTTCGTCGAACCTGTACAAAAAGGGCAAAAACAATAAGTTGTGGTTAATGTACGGGACTGTTTTACTGGGAGCAGTGACTTCCTGGTTCAGTAAGGTGGATAAACACTTACAGATGTATGCAGCAAAGTTATGAATGTTACGCTGTCGGTTCTCGAATACTGCCAGACTGCAGGTCCTGATGTTCAAATGATGTTCAGCAATCACTGAAAAATCACTTTTGGACTGAACTTCAATCCCAAATCTTTGCATCCTCCCAACTTCTTTACGAGGGGGTTTCACAAAAAGAGGAGGAAAGAAAAAGGTCCCTCAGAAAAATTTATTTATTTGTGTTGTTGAATCAAAGCAAAGACTATTTCTTTGGGGGTTTTTTGGGGAGGGGGGGAGAAATTCATTGCAGCATGTCGAAAACAACCTATTCATCTCCGTCTGTTTTCATATTGATTTGATTTACAGGGCTTCATTAAACTCATAAACACACAAAATAATCTGCTCAGTGTGAGTTCAAAGCCATGCCAAGCAAACGCCGGATAAAAGAGAGTCATGTGTTTTATCAGTCGAGTTGGCGTAAATAATAAAGACTTTGGTATTTCTGCACAAAGGCTCCAAATAAATGCATAAAAACAGTCTGCAAACACATTAAATGGCAGAAACACACAGATTATTTTTGTTAACGTGTGTTTGTGTTGCAGTGGAGGAGACCATGGTGCGGCTGGTGAACGGGTCCGGTCCTCACGAAGGTCGCGTGGAGGTTTTCCACGAGCGCCGCTGGGGGACCGTGTGCGACGACGTCTGGGATAAAAAGGACGGAGACGTGGTGTGTCGGATGCTGGGATACCGAGGAGCCAGCGAGGTCCATAAGACTGGACGCTTCGGACAGGGTACGAGTATACAGGATACAATTTTCCTGCTTGTTTGGAAAGACTTTAAAACGTGTTATCCCAGCCAGGATTCGTGTCTCAGGTTACGTTAAATTTTCTCTGTTTGCCAATATATGCTGTTGTAGTGATGTTAGCGAAAGTAGCCACTAGGGATTCATATTTTTCCCGAAAATTAGACATTTTCTATCCCGGGAACAGAAGCACGTTATCCTGGGAATCCTGGGAACTGCAACTGTTTTTAAATAAGTTTAACTTCAGCTGCAGTAGTTTCATGCAACAAGGGTTTCTAACTTGACACTTTAGTGTATTTTTTGGTGTTATTAATGATTATTAAGGCCATTTATCTTAATAAACTTTATAATTAACATAATATAAACTCTGTGTGCAGCTTTAACTGCGCTGTAGCTGCCTGTGATCTGCCAACAACAGCCTCATGGAAGTGATATTATTTTATTTATGCTGATCCCATGCAGTTTTTCCACCTATAAACAGTATTAGAATTGTATAAACTGGGAATGACTGGAGAGCTGAGACACATACTTCATGCCCCTGCATAAATCAGTGCCCCACCTGGACATGCCCCCAAGCCATGCAGAATCTTACAGACAAGGAAAACGTCTGTAAAGTTTAAACTATATTAAGGCTTAAAAAGTTATGCATAATTGAGGCTGCTTTGAGTGACAGGTGGATGCCGTTAGAGGCGGCTGTTTTCAGCAACCAGGCTTCATTCGGCCCGCCTCAGCTCCACCCCTTGGCCCATCTTTTTAACCGGGGAGCCGACGGAGTCAGGACTGCCGAGATGGCGAGACTTGGTACTTGAATGCAAAGACTTTGAGACTTACTTATGACTTGCAAAACAATGACTTGGTCCCACCTCTGCTGCTCATGTCTGCAAAGAGAGGCAACCAAAGTACAGAACTGTATCGCCAACCATTTTATAGTACATGAGGGCTTTTCATTATGCCATGATAATGTAAGTTGGACAAGATTTTAACTGTGATTATCTAACTTTATAGTTTCTGGTGACAGAACATAAAAGCTGTATTAAAAGTCAACACAATGCCAAAGTTCCCCCAGTGTTTTAACCACAGTGACACAAGTTGATAATACTTTGATTATAAGACACTTTCCCTTTTCAACTCATTGTTGCTGGTCAGTTTTTGAGATAAAGAACATCTAAATCACAGCAGGAAATCAGTGGAACAACTTCTGCCCATGGCACATCAATGGAGACATTTACTGATGGAAGTAGTTCTGATTTTTTACTAACTGCTGTTTTTTTTTGTGCTGTTGAGTGGTATTACTTGAACAGTGCCCTAAAATGCTGCAGGGATTAATATTAAGGTTTTATGGGGAAAGTCATGTGAGCCAGATGTCGTCAAGAAAGTCTCAGAGGTCATATCCATCTCTCTCTCTCTCTGTTTTATTTCATTCACCAAACTCAGCCTTACATCATTCAGGGTCTCTGTCCAGGCAGAGTTGATACCAATGAGTCTGGAAAATTGGGGGAAAACATGCCTTTGTTCCAGGGGACGACCTCCAGACAACAGCGGTGACTAACATCACCGCTGGATTCAATTTAAAATTATCTGGAATACAAATATATCTTTTCAGATGAGTCACCTACCTTTTTGATTTTGATTTTTTTTTTTTAATCATAACATCTTTCTCAGACCCAGATGTGGCAGGAGAAAACACACTTTATAGAAGCAACCAAGTCAATAATAAAAACACACATGATATAAGATATATAAGAACAACAGAGCAGCGAGGAAGAGTGTATTTATAATCACATAACAGACATGAAACCACAAGAATCTTAACTGAAGCTGAAATTAAAGTGCAAAATATAACTTATTGTGTTATAAAGTTGTGTTTTGACCAGTTAATATCTTCTCTTTAGATGTTAGTAATGGAAATACTTTCAGAATATTGCCTTTTCTAGTATTTGAGGAATGAAAATACCAGCAGCAGTGGCAAGAATGAGCCTTTTATCTACAGAGTCCACCATATTTCTACAGGAGCCCAGAATGGACAAACCAAACACTGTTTATTGCATGTTTCAGTTTGATATTAGTTCAAAAGTTTCTAAAACTTTCTTAAAGAAGCAGTGTAAAGGATTTGGTGGCATCTAGTGGTGAAGTTGCAGACTGCAACCAACTGAACACTCGCATCAGCATTTGACAACCTGGGAATGAGAACGGCCTGTGAAAAATGTGTAAGGCCAAATCTAGAGCCTGTGTTTTGGGCTACTGTAGAAACATGGTGGTTGAATATGGCAGATGCCACCAGAAGAGGACCCGCTCCCTCTGCAGATAAAAACAGCTCATCTGTAATGATTCCTATATTCAGGTGATTATACACGAATGAAAACATACCTATAAATATTATATGCCATTTCTGCCAGTAGATATTCCTTAATGTGACATACTGGACCTTTAAATTTGAATCTCAACCATGTAATCAGGATATTTTAGCACTTGTCAAATGCCTCCGTGGTCCTAAAGCTTCCAACTCAAGCTCTAGTGTTACAGAGGAATTCCAGTAAATTAGCTTTCTACACACTGATTTGACATCTCCCTCGACAAGAAACCAAAGAACAGTGTTTGTCTGACCTGTAATCAGTGAGGACGGACACAAGGAGAATCAGTAACCAAAGTCCAGGACTGACTCATTCTCTGCAGATAGGATTGTTTTTTGTCCTTCCCATCACTCTGAAATGCAGTGACTCTCTTCTAAACTGTCCCTGGGTGTTCCCTCAAAATCCCACACACTGTTTTTGGTGATTCATTTGTGAGAAATATCATAAATTCGGTGTGAGCGGACCAAACTGCTATAAAAGTGTGTTGAGTTTCAGAGTAAACAGTTTAAAGGTCCGTGTCCATTAAAGCAAACCCTGCGAAGGCACAGCAGCAGAACAGCTGGGGCTCATGTATTCCCCGGTGCATACCTCGTTTCCATCCTGTGCACGCCTGCATGGAGCCACGTGCGCCTGGTGTTTCATGCTGCTTTGAAGACGTCAAATCCGCAGCTAGTTTCTCTTTGTTATGTTACGATGTGAAAGCACAGCAGGAATGTAGGGAGCATATGGTTTGAGTGAGGTATGACTGTGCTGATTTTTGCTGTTTTTATTCAGATATCAGACTTTAAACGCAACATTTTGATCAGATTTTATAGTCAGATTGTTTTCCAGGACAAAAGAAATAATTCCCTTGTCCTGGAAAACAAATCTTATTTCAATATTATCCTTCTTATCCAGGGGTGAAAGTACTGACGTCGCTGTAATTAAGTCATGTTTTGGGGTACTTGTATGAGTATTTTCTTACTTAAAGGTCCAGTGTGTTACATTTAGGAGGATCTATTGGTAGATATTGAATATATATTCACAGGTATGTTTTCATTAGTGTAAAATCACCTGAATATAAGAATTGTTGTGTTTTTGTTACCTTAAAATGAGACATTTTATCTACAGACGCTGCTATTTGCCTTCCATGACATCAAACGGACAAACCAAACACTGGCCTTTTGCATTTTCGCAAGTTTCGGGCCACTTAACAGCCCATTTTTTTCCCAGGTCATCATATGATGGCAGTGGTGTTCAGATAGTTGCAATCTCAAACATTAGATGCCACTAAATCCTACACATTTGTGTCACAGTAATTAGATTTTCTCTTTCTACCACTGTTCTTATCTAAATTAGGATATAAAGGGCCGTATGTTGTATGGATTGTGAAGACATTTTAGATTTGGGATTTTGGGCAATGTGAATAAAACTGACCTGAGTCAACCTACATTTTATTAGTCTGGCTTTTAGTGGATAGTTTTATGTGTCCAACGATGATTTAAATTCTTCAGATCTGTATTTACTCTAATTGAGCACTAATGTGGTAAAAAAAAAATACCAAAAACCGTCCAAGTTGGAACTGACAGGACTGGAAATAAACCGGTTCCCAAACACGAGTCAGCGTTTTTAGGGAACATATCAGCAAATTCTGCGAACACAAAAACCTCTGAGTACAGCTGTAATGGAACGACACAACTCAAGTGGAAGGACTCGCTGTCTAAAAAGCGAGTGAAACGTCTCCGATGTGTCTGTATGGTCGGTCAATTTTCACAAATGTGCTTCCAAGCTTCCAGTTTTCTGCGATACCGGACATACCAACATTTATGGACCAGAGCGTAAAGCCACATAACGAACAACAAGAGATCAATTACATTCCCACTGCTTAATTTAAAGAAACTTCTGTTAAAGGGCAAATCAACACTGATGATGCTGCCAGAAATGTTAAAAAACCTTTGATGAAGAAATTCCTCTACTAAATGAAAGAACTCCAAATTGTATCTGAAGATGATACTTCCCTGTAAAGTATGTCAATAATTATCTTAGAAATACTATCTGGAGACCAGCAGCAAATAAAAGAACACGCACATTTGGATAACTCTATCCTCTGACGTGTGTTCTTTCATTTGGTAGAGTTTCTCTTCATCGAAGCTCATACGTCGTATATAAGTTGGCTTTTAGTGTGCTTCACCGTGCACCTTCCATAGGCTTCAATACAACTTGCACCAAGCAGAGCATTAGAACTATAAGATGTATTCACCCTTCTTGGTTAGTTAATAAAATCAGATGTAAATTAATGAAAGGGATATCGGCCGTGTGTTCACAAACATCTGCTGCTTATCTCTGCAGATAAAAGAGCCCAACAGGTAATCTGCATCACAGTGAACTAAATAGAAACCGGACAGCTTTCTGTTTGTACTTAAAGGATGTCGGCCATACACTGTGGACCAGGATGCATTAGGCTTTACACAACAAAAGATATGTGGTCAAATGCGTCTCGAACCACCTCTGCAAGTGGTTTGAGTTGTTTACACTTCATTATATTATCGGTATTTAGAACTGACCACGAGGCTTGTTAATAGCAGGTGTAAACAGACTCGATGGATATCTGTTGAAATGTGATCACAATCTGTGCTTTCAGTAATCTATGAAGCCTAATAATGTGACCACTTAAATTCCTTTAATCTGGGTTACTACAATGACACCAGCCCAAAATAAACAGGTTTTGCTGTGATTTAAAGGTCCAGTGTGTAACATTTAGGAGGGTCTATTGGCAGAAAGTCAGTCCTACAGTAGCCCAGAACGGACAAACCAAACATTGGCTTTAGAGAGGGCCTTTCAAGTTTTTTGTGAGTTTCGTGGCTGCCATAGTTTCTCCTTTGCGTTTTTGAAAAAGGAGGGTGAAGCGGGGGAATTGCAATCTACAACTACAGGGCTAGATGCCACTAAATCCGACACACTGGACCTTTAATACACATTTAATAATCTGCTCTTCAGTTGTCCTGAGCTTGACAGCACCTTAAACTTTTGTCAGAGGAGTAAAAGAGGAAGATGAAGAGTTTGGTTCAGAAGATTTATGAAGTTTGGACTCGTGAGCTGAACTGATACTTTCTCTGGTTTATGTGAATTCGGATTTTCTGCTTTTTATCTCCCCCGTCTGTGACTTTACCAATATTTGTTGTATTGGCTTCTTCTCTATCGAATGTTTTTCTGAGCTCTACAGTTTGTGTGAATTCCTCACTGACACCTGAGTGAATAACAGTTATGATTTAGAGGACTTCCAGATGCTGTTTTAAGGGCAGCACTGATGAGTCAGCCTCTCTTCTCACCTACAGCACATAAACCCTTTAGTTATATATTCTTAAACTGCATTATCAGCGTGTGAGTACAACCAAATGTTCTCTTGACCTCACTCTTATTCCCTCCAACCACCTAAAACTGTTGCAAAACTGGGACTTTCTGAAGCCTCCAGTGACTCCTGTTTTACAAACAGGAACCGACGTTTATAGCAAGAACAATACTGCCAAAAGCTCTGCTTACCAGCTGTAGCTGTGTGTTTTATTACCGGATACAATATTATCTGATCAACAATTCTGAGGAAGCACTGGGAGTACTTACTGTCTCAATCAGAAGACTCGTATACACACTAATGATGTCTCTGCGTCCACTTTTAAAGACCTTTAACCTTCATTATAATCAGTAAACCTTTGGGAAAAAGGCACATCAACAACTGAAGAATCATTCATCTGCCTGAGAAATTAGTGCAAACAGTTTTTCCTTGCAACTGTCGCCAAGTGCTTGCTCATGGTGGGACTTGTTGGGTCTCTGTAAATAGTTTTACAATCAGTGTGGTCAAGACCTGCTGATGATGTATGATTTGAGGGAATTATTCATGGCGTGACATTGAGACTTTAAGAGGTGGCAGAAATATATGCTATATATCAATATATTTGCTTCCAAATGATGATATTTGAACTCACAAACATTACATTATTGTGGCTCATTAGTAAAGCACTGAATACTGAATGTGGTAATATATATAAAAATCATCTTTTTTCATTTAAGTTAAATCAGTGAGTCTAAAATGTGGCCATAACATATAATTTAATTAATTAACAGCCTACACAGTTAATAAATTGTCCTGACTACAGTGTTATACATATGTCCTCCTCTCTGTGCAGGTACCGGTCTGATCTGGATGGATGATGTGGCTTGTACCGGGGCAGAAGACACCATCCACCAGTGTAAGTTTCCTGGCTGGGGCAAAACCAACTGTGGCCACGTGGAGGACGCCGGTGTGACCTGCATCACCTAAATAAACCTTTTCATGATCCTGACACTGCTGCAGCGGCCGAGCATCTCCTTAAAGAGTGCCTTAAACCTTCAAGAAGCTACGAGGTGCACAACGTCCCACCACTGCCTGGGGTTTCACTTCGCACTGTCGTTTTTTGCCACCTCACCTGACAAACATCCATGTTGTGCATGAAGTAAATCTTTTTTAAGAAGATCATGATTAAACATTTAGCTACAAGACTGAATCATGAGAGCAAAGAAAATGCAGACATTGTTTAACTTTGGGCACCTGTTACGAGCTGGTACACGGGGATGAACGCACAGCAGGACTCAAGTCTTCACTGAGGGCCGGAGGTCAGCTTTCAGACCATCAGAGGCTCGTCAGGTTTGCTGTTTTTACCTCCGGAGTTGGGAGGAAGTTAATCCGACAATTCACCATCACAGAGCCTTCCATTTGTCTGCTGGTGTCTGCAAGTCGCTGAGGAGCTGAAACAAAACTGACGAGACTGTTATTGACAAACTGATCTTTCATTTACAGGCAGCTGCTCTTCACAGTATTATACAGGAACGGCTTTTGAGTGATAGTACACATCCACGGCGATGCCTTATTATATATCATTGTATAGTATTACCCAGTGAGTAATCATTTGATGGTTTGCAGGTCAAAAAGCAGTTTGAGTTGAGTTAAAACTGGACAAAATTTGGGCTAAAAGTTTCACATTTTTTGATTTTTTTTTACTTTTAAAGGTTCCCTGTAGGATTTTTCATATTTAGTTTTACTCACCAAAACTAACAAACATGCTAAGTACTTTTCCAGCCTCTTAAAACATCTGCAAAGCAAAATATTGCAAATATTTAAAAAATATTTCAAAGCATGCATTGTTTACTGTACCTCCATGTTTGCTCCCGGATGGATTTTGACGTTTTATTCTCGTTGGAACTATCCGACTAATTCAAAAGGGGTCAACTAAGACTCATCAACCAACAGTTTAGTCAACTAATAGAGGACGACCCTTCTAGCCAGCAGTCTTCTGCAGGACTGTATCCATCACCTTTTCTGTGTGCGTCCTCATGCAAATAAATGAGTGGTTGCACAAAGGGTACCTTCAAATTAAAATTAATTATTATATATATTTTACCCAAAAAGTTATTACCTACAGTAAATCTGTAGTTCTACAGAGTTCATTGTTAAAACATAACCTGTATGTTAGTTTTAATACTGAAGCCTCTATGTGACCTCCATAAACAAACAGACAGACAGCGAGAAGATTGGTTATTTACGTATTCTTAATGCCTGTCACCAGGTTGGATTCCTGCAACCCAAATGAAAATGATGCGGTCGATGTGGTGAAGTTAGTGACAAGCTGGTGAATCAAAGCAATGTTATGTAAGATTTGGTCTTCCTAACAGGCGCCGCTCTCTTTCCCGGGCCTGAAAACATCCTCCTCCCCTCTCGATCCAAAGCTCCAACACTCCCCCAGTGCTCTGAGCACCCGGCCCCGCACGCTCAGGGCAGTATGGCTAAGCTAACTAGCATTAACATCAACATTTGGCAGCAATTACTTTACTGTCCATCAGCAAACTCTGTAAATCACACGAGTTGAGCAGCTGGAGGACATCAGAGGGAAAACCAGAAAACATTTCCTCCATAAAATACGATCCAGTTTCACCAAAATCAGTGACGTAGCTGTTGGTAACATTTTGCAAGAACAGTTGGACAGAGGCAACATTCACCCCGTCGCAACTCGCATCAATAATGATTGAGAAGCTGTTATTTCCAAGTAGAAACATTACCTAATGTTGCTTTAAGTGGAACATTCAGCAGCTAAAGCAGCAGAGATCAAAACAGAGCTAAAAGGAGATCATTGGACTTCCATCGAGTGCACGTGAATGCTAACGTTGTTCTGTGTCTGCTGGCCACAACTGTATGAGGACATTTTAGGGTTGTATCTTCTATCGGGTGAGAAAAAAAAATCAATTATCGCAGCTTTTCAGCTCAACATCTAGACGTTCTTTAACCTGCAAATCACCAAATCAGTGTTTACCGTGTGCTTTATGTTTCTAAAAACATTTAGTGAAAGGGTTAACAGTCACTGCAGCTGACAGATGAAGTGATTACGACGAAGAGAGAACAGATGAGTATAAACAGATGGATGCGTGGACGCCTGCCCTGTACGATTTACAGCGGTGGGTCTGTCAGTGCTCATTGCCAAAAGTTGGGTTGTTTCAGCATCAACGCACATGTGCACCACACACACACACACACACACACACACTAAACCAACCATAACAGACAAGCTTTTTCTTGTGAGTTTTATGCCTCTCTGTGCGAGGTTTAATCTTTACGGCTGCCCTCGAATCCAAAAAGGCTGGTACCTCCCAAGTGTCCCTGCTCACCTCCCTGCCGGAGCCAACAGGACACATCCAGGTTGGAATAAAATATCTGCAGGAACCTGTGTCTTTACCCTGTAAAGTTTTATATTTGAAAAGGGAAAACAAGTTTTTAGTGCACCTTAAAATTCGGCTTTAAAAACCTCACATTTCTGTCCTCGAAGGAGCTGTGGTTGAATTCCCTCTGATCATATATTCTGTAGTTAAAGTTGTCTCTCGTAGGGTAAACCGATGGTCTGGCCCACTTTCTTTTTATGAAAATGATTCTGCACACGTGATGTGCTTTTAAGAGTTTGTGTCCATTTGAGAGAGAGAAAGAAAAAAAAATTTGGATACGAATTTGACTTTTTTAAGGAAGTGCAGCCAGAAAGGACTTTTTCTACCTCGTGTTCAAGTGCCTTAGTGTTTGTGGAGGGTTTTAAACCTCGACTCTGCCACAGAGGAAGACAAATGAAAGCAGGAATAGAGGGAAAAGGGAAAATGAGGTGAGAAACCAGACTCAATAGACTGATGTGTATCAAAAGAAAACAGGGAATTGTGGGTTTGACTGATAACTCACTCGATAGTTTTCACCACTGCCGAATAACAACAAGCTCAATTTAGTACATTACAGACATTATCAGACCCTTTATAATGAACTGACATTCATTTTCTTTAATTCACTTTGTTCACAGGGTTTGTTTCTGGTTTTATAAAAGTAATAATACTCCTACACGTTTCTTACTGTGACTATTAGGACCAACAGTGTGTGTACTGTATTATTACTGTACTGTCCCCGACTAAAGATTTTCCTAGTAGTTATTTAGTTGTTCAGTCTTGGATTCATCTTAATTTACTTATTTAAATCTCTATCTGTGAACAGCGGCCTGTCAAACACTAACAGAAGCAGCAGTAATGATTGTGACTGTGTCAGAACAACCAGCAAGGATTCAACACAGTGTTACAGTCTAAATTAATTAATAACCAGAGTCAGAGTCCTGGTCGGAGCCGCTGTAGACCACCCGACCTCCGACCGTTCCGGTCCCCGGCTCACCCGACTCTGGCACTGGTGCTCATTCTGACTCCCTTCCTCTCTTTCCTGCAGTCCAAAGCTCCCCCTTTACCTCGGGCTCGCAGTCAGATAATATGGCCGTAGCACAGTTAACAACACAGTTAACAGCATACGCAACAGTGCACCGATAAGCGACGCCCTGTGTTACGGGATAAAAGGTCCGTGTTGTGATACTTTAGTCCCGTCGACGAGGCGCAGCTCCTGAACAGAGTTTAAAGTTGTTTTTGTTTTTCTGCGACTATCCGACTAATGAAAAGTGCGTCGATCTAATTATTATAATACATATTAGAACTGAAACCAATGAATCATTGCCTTCAGCTTCTGAAATGTGGGTATTTGCTTTTGATTTTCTATCATTTTAAACTGAATATCTGTTTTAGACTATTAAAATATTTAAAGATTTCAGCATATTTCACTATTTTTACATATTTTATGAACCAAAATGATTAAACTGTTAATCCTAAAGGGGAGCAGGTCAGACTTTACATAAAGATTCATATAGCTTAAATACAGCAGAAATAAGTGATAAAATAAAAGTACAGTAACACATTAAAACAAGAGTTTACTGATAAACGTTCATCTGACTCCACCTGAGAGGATTTCTGGGCAGTCCGGTCCTTCAAATGTAAAAATTAAAAACAGATCTCTCACTGAAAACTCACGGCTGCCAAAGTACAGAGTTACCTGTACGACACCGGCATCCAAATATCATTCAACCATGTTTAACTCATTTGTCTTCAGGTGAACACACACACACACACACACACACACACACACACACACACACACTTTATATACAGCATTAGCAACCTGATATACGCTGCAGTTACACTCAGATATCCAGTTTCTTTTTTCTCTGTACTTAAAAGGAGTGGATGGAACAAATTAGACATTTACAAGGTTTTAAAGTTGTATCCTTTCCAACTAATGTGTGCTTGATTGAGTGTAATCCTACACACACACACACACACACACACACACACACACACACACACACTCGTACAATATCTGCTCTGTTTTTATGTGCAGCACCAAAGCAACTGACAGTACGACTGAGTGGCAGCCAGACCTCTGTGTGTCTGGTCCTGGTGTCTTTCATTCAGCACCAGGCTGCTAGATGTCCCTTATGTCTCCCACCAAGCAGCTATAGCGGTCTTATAGAGCAGTGGTTCCCAACCTGGGGGTCGGGGCCTCCACTAGGGGTCGCCAAAGCTTCACAGCGGAGCACGAAACCTTCTTGATTTTAAGGGGAGTAAGAAACATTTAAAAATACACACAGTAGGTCAATATCTCAGCATCATTTCTGTGAATAAAACTAAAGGAAATTGTTATTTTCAAAGTTGATTTAAGATCTAAAACAGATATATTCACAGATCCTATGATAAACAGCCTCGTCCTGCTTGGGACAATGGCAGCGTCAGGGAGAAAGATAAGCCTATTAAATCTGTATGATTGTTAGAAATAACTAAAATACATGTTGACCGAATTAGATCAACAGATGTGTTTATAAAAGCTAAAAAAGGTTATATTAATGTAATATTTCTCCCTGGCGCTGCCAAAGGGTGGAATCAGTCACATATGAGAACCTTATGGGCTCAATTCAACCAGTTAAAATATTCGACCCCGCTGTCTCGTCCAGTTGTTCTTCCTCTCGCAGCTGAATCCGACTGATGTCGGAGCCTATCGGATATCAGAAGGATAAAACTGTTGTGATGTGATTTTCCTGATTGGTTAGAGGCTCCTCTGACCTCGGATCAATGCTTCGGCCTCACAGGGTCAAATAACTCAAATGCCTTTAAAAATATAAAGCAGCCTTTTGAAAAGCGAGAACACATTGCGAACCGAGTGCACTTAACCAATTAAATGTGTATTTTTCTTTGTGTGTTTTAATGGTTGTACAAAGACCTTACTATGCTACTTTTGGCATATTCGCTCTGAGCACATTTGAGTATACATGTTTTTATATTACATTGTGCTGGTCATAACACATATAAGGGCTATGGAGTTAACATACATGCATACGAAAATAAGAAAATACTTGATAAAATACACTTTTTTTACTTAATGTTCAGTTGATTTGTACCACTAAAATGCTGTATATGCACTGCTGAAGTAATAAAATGTAGATTTGTTTAAACAGGTGAGCTGTGTTATTGAGGTGAATTGGAAACAGACGCCAACAGGTGGAGGAATGTGTGTGTGTGTGTGTGTGTGTGTGTGTGTGTGACTGACGGCTCTGAACCATTACAGGTATGAATGTTTCCACATGTGAAGCCGACGGAGAAATCACCTGATCTCCGACGCAAGTGGCCGCCGGTCAACGTGGTTTCACTTATCCTCCAGGAAGGTAAGACTTTATTAGTTTTTATTTGATACAGTAAAATGTGAAAGTATGCAAGTAGTCATACACACACACACGGAGATCAGAAACACTTCTATAATATCTATAACTCCAGAGACACACTGTTTGCTGTTTCAGTGCCTGAAGGGTTGTTTTCTTTAAAGTCCAGATGAAAAATGTAATTACAACCCTTTAAGATTGCATCCTGTTATATTTTATCCCTACTTGACAAATACAGCCAAAAAAATGTCTCAATTTCTTTATATTTTTATATTAAAATCCAATCATTGGCAACTGAACGGGGCTCAGCAGCCTCCCAGTGAACACAACTCAGAGACAGACAGAGGACAGTTTGACGACAGCGGTACCGAGGAGATTTATGGGAGTTTCCTGATGGACTTGTTGCTAAAAGAATCTAACTGTGGCCAACAGTAATGTTAGATGCTGTTAGTTAGTTAGCTCGTGCAGCTATCTGATTTACAGCTATCTGCAGCACAGTGATGTACGCAGGGTTTTAGAAATACTGAGGTCCAAAAACTCGACTTTCTGGGGGTTTTTTGGGGCGTCAAATCATTAAAATTTTTATTTTTAGACAATTATTTCACAACTTTTTACGATTTGGAAAAAACACTGAGGTCCAGACGTTGTGGTGGGTTCAAAACAATCCTGAAAATATCATTTTTATGTGTTTTTCTTGTTGACATGTTCGTTAAAAATACATGTTCTTGTGTCAGGATGAGGAAGTTTGTTTTTTTAATTTTTGTTTTCAATCCAGATGAGTTTAACTTACTTTCCAGAGTGAGTTTGTCTGCTTGTCCCCAAAGTCTATTTAATATTTTCATTTCAGTTAAATAAAATCATTTTTCGTGCCTACTTTTAGTAATAAGTTTAGTTTTAGTTCTCTATAATAACCTGCAGTTACAGACTCTATCTCCACATGTGAATATGTGTTGTTTCATATTATTTCTGCTCTGATTCTGCATTAAATCATTTTCTACCGAGTCGAACCACATTCACAGATCAGAGGGATGAAATTAGTCAAAACATTATTCCAGTTTTTGGGACACAAAGACAGAAAGACAACAGATGTTTTAACTTCTCCTCAGCATCAGCTCCACATCCCGTCTTCATCTTCTTCTTCATCCCATCATTTGGTTTTTATGACGGCTCTATGACGTCAGAGGCCTTTTTGGGTTTATAAGACAGATCTAACATCACACAGGTTTGTGTTTTTAGAGGACAGATGCTGCACTTTGGCTCAACAGCGAGTTGTGTGTGAGTCCAGATCAGATTATATATATACTGTCAATGCTCCAGATGTTTAAAGAAAAACCCACATTTTCTTCACCAGTAAAAAACCACAATCTGTGGATCTTCACACATGAATCCCGGGTGGTCCTGCACTTGTTCTGCAGTGAGTTGTTGTATCCGTGTTCTATTTATCCTGTCTTGTAATTATTGGTTTATGTATTAAAGACTGAATTAGGTCTTCACAGAAGAGTGTTAGGCTGTGATTGCAGAATAAAGCTGATGATGTTCAACAATCACATGTGGGTGTAATGTCCACATACTTTGCGGTTTGTGGTCCAGAAAAAGTCCTGATTCCTATCAGTTTATTTTTACATATGAATGTGGTTCAAAACAGTCCTGAAAATAACATTTTGATGTGTTTTTTCTTGTTTATATGGGCTTTATAAATACATGTTCTGACCCCTGTGTGAGCAAAACATGCGGTTGCGTCCTCATGAAATAACAAAGCTAATTTTAATGTGAACAAAGTTTGGTTTGTTTCCACATTGAGGAATAAAACTGGACTCATTAAAGCTATAACATCTCTGTTTAAAATGTCTTTAGCTTTATGTTCTGTATGTAGTTGGTTAAATCAATAATCTATAATCATTAATCAGTGTATAAACTATGTTCTATATGTAGTTGTGTTCTTACATTATCCCAAATGTTTCCAACAATGTTCAAACTCAGAGATATCAGCCTTTAAATGGCACTGGAGGAGGTTGACATATGAAGGGTTATTTATTCTTCACTTAATCATGACAGCTAGAGTCCCGCTCTCTGTTCTTTCTTTCTGGCTGTCTCTCTGTGGTTGCGTCCAGAGACTAACCCATCCTTATTCTATAAAGCGCACCACAACATGTGGCAGCAGAGCCCACAAACATGAGCTCATTTCCCTCCGGGGGGAACGAGGAATGAGGAGACAGACGGACACAGAGACAAAGCAACGGTCCCAGTCTTCCCATCCACGTCCACATTTGTCATCGGACCGCATTCCTAATACTCCTCTCCTCCTCATAATGAAACGGTTATCCGTCCGCACAATGGAGAGAGCGGGCCGGGAACATCTGCAGTATGTGGAGGGGATGAAACAAAAGTGGGATCACGGGAGTCGAGGTCGGGGGTCAAATTCACCATCCGAGTGAGGAAATTCTTTCGGACAAGAACCCCCCCCCGACTTTAAAGAGAAAGGGGTGGATGAAAATGAAACTCTTATCAGCCCACATGTGCTTTAAATCCTCACTGTACTTTATTATAAAGGATTAACTGACACTGTTAATATTGAAATGAGGAAACCTGCACAAGGATCAGAATCAAAGGCATCAGTACGCAGTTAAAATGAGAATAATATACTGAATTTGTCAAAAAAAAAGAAGCCTATTATGTTTGAACAATGTTATTAATTAAAGAAATACATATTACAGACAGATAGAATATCTTTAACAGGAAATAATCTGCTTAAATTCCAATGTTATTGTGTTCGATATTGTTCAATATTTGGATTAATTGTACAGTTTATCAGCTGTTCTCTGCTGTTATTGTTACACATATAATATGAAATAATCCATAAAATATGTGTTGCAGCAGGTCAGATTTATGGGAAAATGTGAAACACAACTTTATTTTCATTAGTATTAGCATCCTCTAATTTAATTATTGGATATGTGTCATCCTCATCATCGTCTTCATCACTGTATTCAGAGTTAATATGGTCTCTGTTTCACATTAGATCAGTTTGAAAGATTATTGATTATTTTTTATGCTTTTGTTATTTTATCGTCTGTTTTGTTTCTAATGAGTCTATTAATGCAGATTGATGATGATTTGTTGACCTACTACATTAATAAAACATCATTTTACAACGTGACCGACCTCATCTGGTGAAAAGCTGAATTACAACTGTGACTGGAATCATGTTGAAATAGTAGAATCACTTTTATTGGACAGGTTTAACTCTCAGTGTACAAACAGCAGACAGACAACAAAGACAACAAGCTGGAGAAGGTAAACAGAAATGTGTATATTATATCTGTATATAGAAATTGTATATATAAATAATAATATATGTATGTTTTATATATAAAAAACAACACAAGGAAAAATTTATATATTGGTTAAACAAGGTGGGTGGAGATAGTATTTAACATTATATATAGTATATATAATCTTAAATACTATATATACAGTATATGACAGTACATAGAGCAGGTGTAGATTTGTGTATGAGTGATATATGTTTTAAAATAACTGTATTTAAACAGTGAGAATAAATCATTTACAGAAGTCAGTCTTGGAGTTGAGGTTGGATTTAATAGTTATTAACAACATTTTATACTTATTGTATTACTTTTGAGTGGATAAAGCTGATTTTAAAAAAAGCCATGAACCCATTTTTGCCATAAATAAGATGTTTATTTATAAGATGTGTTTCATAAACAACGGTAGATTTAAGGGGGGGCTGTGAAATGTAGCTCAACTTTTAGAGAAAATTAAGATCAAAGAATAAAAACATGAATCAGCTTCTCCAACTTATTTCATGACTTTCCTAACTCTGGGAATAGTTTTAATAATAAATAACTGTTGTGCTGCTGCAGCCCCCTCAGGTATAGTGGATGTTTGAGACACTTTTTTTGTATTCATAATAAATCACTTACACTCCCTAAAGAGCGTTAAATCAAAGAAAACTGGCGTGTGTTTCATACGTTATGATGTTGAATCGACATTGGTTCAGTATGTCCCTCCGCGGCCTCCGTACAGCCTGCTGAGGACTCGGGAAGTGTTTTTTGAATGTTCGGCGCGTTTTAACCGCGGCGGAAGAAAACCGAGGTAAAGTTTCATTTATCGACTTTATCGACGTTAATTATTCAGTTTTCTGACTCAAAACTCAATAAAATCAATAAAATCAACTCCAGAGTGCAAATTAAACCGTACTGTCGCCATGGTAACACCAGTAACCGGTCAAACCACGAGCTCACTGCGGTCGACGTTAATTTGAGCTTTTTTAACGTTGGGTTTGGTTGCTACTGTAAATACTGTTATATGATTAATAAACAGCTTAATACTAAACTTAACTTATATAAGAGTTTATGCTGGTTTTTTTTTCTTTTGATTTAAACTGCCACTCATTTTGCAGTTGCCAAACATTGACACACATTTTCTGTTTTAACGCAACATTTTGAGTCAGTTTAGGTTGCTCCACCGAGGCCATCGCGCCAGCCTCCATTCAGAAATTGGCCTTTTATTGTTATTTAACGTAATTTTAGACAAAAATACCTTCATACATACTTAGTGGATCATGAGGTGCTACATATTCAAATTCGGCTTGTATCACACACATCAAACATCACTCATTTGTATTAAATATGGGCTGTTTGAAGGTCATGTTACAGTGCAGGTCCATAGAGTTGCTCAGTGAATGAAGTGCAGCTCAGTATGGGTGTAATGTTGTGTGCTTTCCCACATTAACTCTGCTGTTGTGTGTTTCCCCTGCACAGAATGGCCTCCCCTACCACATGCACCGATGAGGGGGCATTCAAGACCCCTAAAACCGTCCGAGTTAGGAGCTTTGGGAGCAACGGAGGGACCCCAGTGACCATCCCGGCTTCGCCTTTCATGAAGAAGCTGGGCTGTGGGACCGGCGTCAACGTTTACCTCATGAACAGGTTTGTAGAGAATATAATATCTAGTTCACTAAAAAGCCTCTGCTTTTAGAAAGTGTTCACCATGAGTACGATGGAAAGGAGAGGACAGCTCCTGACATGTATTAAAGAAAGAGTTGCTTAAGGTACTGGACCCTGAACGTGTTCAAGATCATTAAATGTGTAATTTCTGTCTCTCACATCAAAACAATAACAAAAGATGCAGTTTGATGAGGTGGTGAAGCAGCGTGGGATCATGGGAGTTGTTGTCTTCACCACCATTGGCGTCATTGCAGTCAGCTTCTCCCGGTTAGGATTCCTTCAGTGTTCATGGTTCAGGAGGTTTCTACCGGGAGCCCAATGATCCACAGAGTAAATCTAGAGTTAAAAAGCACCAAGATCTAAACAGTGGATGGTAACAATGTGGCTTCAGACTGGATCAACAGTCAATGTGTGACAGCTTCTGGCAGACAACCACAACACTGACGCAGGCACAAAGGGGATATGGCGCCATCGACAGGCGACCGGTGAAACGCAGCGTTACCTGAATAAAATGACAGATTTCTCTGAGTTTGAACATTGTTGGAAACATTTGGGATAAAGTAAGAACTCAACTACATATAGAACATAGAGCCAGAGGTTATACACTGTTTAATGAGGATGATGTTACAGATTATAGTTTTAAGTTATAATGAATGAGGTATGTGATTTTAATACTACATTATATCAGTGTTCAGTAGTTTTCATGTCTGTGTGACCTGATGTGTGTTTATGTGCGTGTTGTTTGAATGAATCCTAGGATGGGGAAGCTCAACGCGTCTCCCTGGGCGGTGAAGAAGATCAACAGTAAGTGTGCAACCAAGCAGCTGCCGGTTTACCAGCGGCGCCTGAACGAGGAGGCGAAGCTCCTGAAGGGAATCCATCATCCGAACATCGTCGGTAAGATGGGACAGCGGGTTCTCGCGGTGCATTCACAGTCACGTAGGACTTTACAGCGACCAGTGTAAACAGAAAATATGGTTTTTATGTTTCTTATGGTTCAATTTTGTGTTTCTTAGCATCAATGTAAACCACAGAAATGCTTTTAAGAGAGATTTTACACTTCAAATACAGACCACAGCTGATGATAACATTGATAAAGGCCTTCTTACTTTTACTCCAACAACAACAACGACACAACTTGTTAGTCAGATTGTCATTTCCCACCAAGCACACCAATCAGGAATGAATTAATATCTCTTTTACGTGGTCTTTTATTTTGTAATAATCAGTTTTGTTTGTAATCTGTCGAGGCTTCCGCGCCTTCACCACGGCCAAAGATGGATCCAAGTGTCTGGCCATGGAGTACGGAGGAGAGCAGTCCCTCAACGACCTGATCGAGAAGAGGAGAGAGGACGGCCTGAAGGCTTTTCCCGCCGCCAACGTAGAGAAAGTGGCGCTGCACGTTGCTCGAGGCCTTCAGGTAAATCACGGATCCTCTTCTTACCCGGTGTCACAGCCCAAATCACCGGTTCCCGACCCCTCTCCTATCACTGACCACATGTTTTATAGAGATTCACCACAGATGAGTTTTAACAATCATACAGACTTAATAAGCTTCTTTTTTAGAGTTTTTACATTTAAAATAATAATAACTATTTAATTCAGTTTTTTTCACAGAAATGTACAAATTGCTGAGATATAGACCTACTGTTCTGCCATATTCTCCTTTATATTCATATTTTATAGATTTTTTTACATGCTTAATTGAAAATTGGCACAAAAAAAAGAGAAAAATGATTAAATATGAGAGTATATGATTAAAAAAGTAATAATATTTCCATGTGGTCATTTAATATAAACGATTTATTCAATCTATTTATAGATAATGTGTTATATTGTGATATATATATATTTTTATCTGGATGTGAGATTTTGGTAATATGTAACAGTCCTAATCCTCCAGTATAGAGACAGACTTTGAATTTATTTAAAATATGATTTTAATAAAATATCCATGAGCCAGCCACAACATCAGTGTTTGATTCCTTCCCCAGTCCGTCTCCTCTCAACGGCCGCCATCTTTTAATTCGATTGTAGAAGCGAGGGTTGTTTAGCAGAACAGAGTAAACACAGGAGGACGTTGTTAAGCGGAGAGTAACAGGAATGCTTTGTGTCTCTCTTCAGTATCTGCACAACGAGAAGAAGCTGCTGCACGGCGACATGAAGTCCTGCAACGTCGTCATCAAGGGCGACTTCGAGACCGTCAAGATCTGCGACGTCGGTGTGTCTCTGCAGCTCGACGAGAACATGAGAGGTGAAGACATCTTACTAAACAACGCACCGTAAACACGTATTTCAGATTGTAGAGTACAGTCTGGAAACAGGCGTTCAGGTCCAGGACCCCTGCAGCTGGTTTTAGTCTTTTTTTAACGTTGAATATTTTTTCCCACTAGTCCTGGAAACACCTGGAAATTCATTCAAATGACCAAATATCCTGGAAATAATCTATGTTGTCCTGGAAAATTATAATTGTATTTTATCCTGTGCTGTGGTCAAATTAATGCTTCGGTTAAAGGGGAAACTGTAGTCAATAGACCTTTTTCACAGCAGCCATTCTGACATGAAATAGTCGGGTAAACACTGTAAAAACTGGCCGTCTAGAAACAAACCAAATATTCTGATATTTAATTACATTTTCTTGTATGGAGCAAAAAAATTAATAAAAATCTGCTAATTGGTTTCTTTTTAAAAATCTAACTGAAAGACTGTAATGGTAAAATAATAAATAATCAGATTGTGCTTATTACAAACATTAAAAACTCAGATATTTAGGATAAAAAAAGGATTTTGGTGACTTTATTGAGCTGAATTTACACCTTTTTTAAAAAAAATCTAAGATTAATAATTACATCACCTCTGCTTTAATTACTAATGAAATTGATCTTATCAACATTATTGATGTTGTTTCAGGCCATCATATCAATCAATCACAGTCGTCCCTTTTTTATTATACATTGTATCAGCAAACCCTTAAACATGTACCGTGTGTGTGTGTGTGTGTGTGTGTCTGTGTGTGTGTGTGTTGAATCATGGATTAAAGAACTGGCCGAAGACACTTTGTGTGGCAGCGTCTGTTTACAGCAGCTGATTCACTTTGTTTGCGTGCCCGGGCAGAAACAGGGACTCTTCTCATTCACCATGAACCAGCAGGGATCTCTTAAATTAGCTTCAATGCAACTAAATTACAAACTTCTGCTTTTCTTGGAATTGTTAAAAAAATAAACGTTTGTTTGTTGTTAAAATATAACCTAATTTTATAAATTGTCATCCAGTTTGATTCTCATTAAATCTGCTCTCTCTTCCCGCCCTTCGCCCTCAGTGTCGGACCCGAAGGCGGAGTACATCGGCACCGAGCCGTGGAAACCGAAGGAAGCTCTGGACGAGGGAGGGGAGATCACCGACAAGGCAGACATCTTCGCCTTCGGGCTGACTCTGTGGGAGATGATGACGCTGGCGATGCCTCATCTGGAGATGCTGGAGGGTGACGGGGAGGAGGAGGATGATGAAGGTGAGACGCTCTGCAGCCTCAGGAAGGGTTGAATTGTATTTACGCTGCAGCTCAGAGTTCTGTCGCGGTTTCAATGTCCACTGGAGACGTTCCAGTCAGCCACCAGGGGGCGATGGATGTAAACTCTGATGTCACTGATCTACACTCAGACAACCTATCGTTTGTGTTTCAGACTCGATGGAGGACAGTTTCGACGAGGACGCGTACTACGAGAAGCTGGGGACGAGGCCGGCGCTGGATGCCGAGGCTCTGGGCGCCGCCTACCGGAGGATGGTGGAGCTCTTCTACCTCTGCACGGAGGAAGACCCCAAGAAGAGACCCTCGGCCGGGCAGATCGTCCAAGCGTTGGAGAGCAACGCCCCGCTGGATAAAACGCCCGCTGAGGTGATCGTGATCGACTGATGCTGCTGAGTTAGAAATGTTGCGGTTTGTTACGGGTTTATATCAGAGATTGTATGAACACAGCCTGAATCCCTGCCACTGCTTCCTGTTTGTACCACAGAGGATTCAACTCTCTTACTGTACATCTGTATCTGTTATTTCTCTCCTTTTTCTAGTACGTCGACTTTTACTGTGTCACTGTTTTTACTTTCTTTATTCTTCAACTTACTCTGTATGTTTGTGTTCCTGCACTTCTGTAAACTTTGATATTTCATGATCTCGAGCCTCCTGTGTTTTTATTGGACCTTGAAGGTTTAGTCCTAGTTTGTTCTTTTCAAACGGAAACACACACAACCGTTGATTTGAAGTAATTCAATTTAGAATTGATGGCGATCTCAGCGTCAGCAACATTTTTACATGTGACATTTCTTACGACAAACTGAGCGTCTGCCACATTTCAAGTTAGTAGATACTACTGGGCTTTATCAGGAGTTCCATTTAATCATCACAGACCAGATTAATGGAGTCAGGAAACCGGTTTAGGATCATAAAACAATGGCAATGTGTTTATTAACTGTATTTACAAAGAAGAATGCCTTTAAACAATGACGGCATCGTCTATCAACATATTTTCCTTCAAAATCGTCCAGAAAACTGAAAAAAAAAAAAAAAAACCTGAACATTTACATCAACGTATCAAAATGATCCTCCAATAACATCAAAGCAAACGATACTCAGAACATGTGAAATGTAAAGCAGAATATAAACATCTGGATAGAAAGCACTGCCAATATACAAACATCTGCAGCAGTAGAGCCGTACCGAGTATAAATACTGAGCGAGAACTTTTAGAAACTCTACACCTACTGAACTCTCTCTCTCTCTCTTCAACACAAACTAAACATTAAAACCTCAACAGTTATTGCTTTGCATCCGAGAACCTGAAGATCTGTTAATCTGCGTCAGTTAAAACGGTTTCTTTAATCCACGTCTTTCGTTCAGCTCTTCACGCGATGAAGTTGTAAACGAGGAAGGTCGGCGTGTCGCAGTACTTGGTGGCGAACTGTTTGCCGTCGGGCGTCGGGTCAGAGAAGGCGATTTCTTCCTTGGTGAGGTGACTGCCGTACATGAAGGTGCTCCTAAACAAAAACAACAAGGAAACTTGATTATTGAGGAAGAGTACTGGCTCCAACAACATGGGTTAACTAACTTGTTGACTGGTTTGAGACGGTGTGCTGCCTGTAAGTGGAGGTGAAACTTGGGACGAGCCATCAGTGTGAAATTGATGATTTATTTGAAGTGTTTTTCAAACTGTATGGTTCAATTTTTACATTTAAATGGAGGTAAACAACCAGTAAAGAGAACCACACAGCAGATAAGACTGTTAGGAAACATATGTAAGTAAAAAAGTGTTTATAAGTTTTAACTAACTGAAACATTGATGTGGCCAGAGCCCGTAAGTAACAGTTGAAATTAGGTAGAATTTATTCCACAGAAAGTTAATCTGTAGGAGTAGAAAGTGTTTGTTGCACGTAGAATTAACATTGCTGTGTATGTATTTATATATTTCCATCATATTTGGTCATTTTAATTCATGTCCAGGTGTTTCCACGACTGGAAAACTAGTCTCTAATTCTAAAGATCCATTACACTACTTTTACTTACTGTTACCCAAAGCATCCATTACAGTTTACCCTCTGTTGATATTACTCGTGGTTCAACACCGTACCTGACAGTGTCCAGCATGCGCGTGGCGATGCTCTGCCGTCGGGCCAGACTGAAGACCCAGATCCGACTGACCCCACACAGAGCTTGTTCTGGGACGGTGGAGCAGCACCAGGCTCGGTGTCGCTCCATGAAGTCGTCCTTCATCATGTCTTTGTGTCGGTCCGGCTGCTCGAGGACTCTGTAGGCCTGCAGGGACAGACAAACCCATCAGCATCCACACAAAGCCCCGAATGTGTGATATTTTATTAATAATGCCACTGATTGATTTGTTTTGATCAGAATTTTGCACTTTGAGCTAAAATACAATAAAACATTTCCAGGGCAACGGATTATTTGAAAGATGTTTGGTCATTTTAAAGGAATTTTCAGGTGGAAAAACTAGACATTGCTTGCTTTAGGGGCCCACAGTCTCCTACCTGACGTATGGGTTCAGCGACGAGACAGCCCACCACCATGCGCTCGGTGTTGATGAAGAGGTAGGTCTTGGCCTGCGTGGGTCTGCTCAGAGTCACCTGCTGGAAACCCAACTCGTTGTCCGCTACGCGCCGCACCTCCTCAGCCTGAAACCAGAAAACACACGACGTGAGGAAATTTGTACACTCGTAAAAGAGCAGAAGACGTAACCACACCGGCTCCAACATCACTTACGACAGTTTCACAGTCCGAAGCGGCGACATCCTTTTACAACACACACAGGAACAGGTGCAAACTCACCTTTTTGATGGCGTATTTGGGATCGTCTGGCATGACGAGGAGGATTTTTCCATCCCAGAACTCGGCCACCACCCGCTCCTTCTTCCAGCCCTGGAAACACAACAGAGAGACGACGCTGCGGTTTACGAGCCAACGACTCAAACTGCTGCCAGCAGCCTTGGCAGAAGATCTCTGCAAAATACTGAAACTGCTTCAAATAAAAAACACACGTCACTGAAGCATTTCAGAGGCTAAAGGAAAGACAACGAATGGATCAGGTTAGATAAGGTGATAGTCTCAATCATATCGTCTATAGTTAGTATAGTACTGACACATTTAACTCCAGTTTTATTATAAAGCCTTACAGGTTCATTACAGGTCGGTGGTCAGTGTTTATGGTGACAGTTGCTGTTGGCTGCGGTCTCCGGTGAATTAACTATAATTTAGAGTTTTCCTGTAACTGTAACATCGACGACGACACCGAAACGATTTCTATCAGTCTGGTGAACCTACTTCGAGGTATCATAGCGCACAGCTCATCCTAACAACATCCAGGTTTACATGAACTACCTGAGCGAGGGGCTAAAATACAAGAGTTCCAGGATATTTGGTCATTTTAATCCATTTCCAGGTGTTCGGAACCGTGTTTAATCAGGATTAGCTCCTGTCTAATCGTTTTCTGCACAATGAAATCAACAAAGTACCACTGAGAGGTGTACACGCAGTTAAATAACCAATCACACCTTTAATGACTTCATTATCTGTGCACGTTAAGACACAGATGCCTCGGTACTCGAGCGCTCAGAGAGACTGAAGGAAGGAAGTTTTACCACGAATTTGATGGAGTCGAGGAAGCGCTGGTGGAACTGGTTGTGTTGGAAGTTGTCCTCTGGGTTGTCGGCACTGTACACCATCCCACAGGAGCTGCAGGTCGTCGCTCCGAACTGCTTCTGGCCTGCGTCCTGATGTGGAAAACAGTCAGCACACACACAACTCACATAAAGGAATCCTGATAGGACTCGTTTCTACTTCTCCCTCCTTCCAACCTACTTTCAGTATACGCTGCAGCTGGCTTTAAAACCTCAGGAAGACACAAATATGAGCCAGCTTTAACTTTATAATATCCAACAGGCTCCAACTGCAGCACCTCAGACCGTCTCCTCAGGTATTATCGCTCCCAGCTGGTGGGAGGGTTGATTTATTTCACAGGTCAACTGCCAGCTCACATAGTTACATTATATGAAATATATTGGGGGTGTATGACTATGTGACCTTCTTCTGCTCTCACTGATAAGAACCAACATGCAGGCTCAACCTTCACAATAAGAAGATTAACGTACGATGATGAGCTGGTCGTCGTCCTGTTTCTCCTTCCTCCTGCGAACAGTTCGCTCTTTGGCTGAAGAGACAGTCTGCAGTGACGTTGTCTGGCCGGAGGGGGTGCTGCAGGACACTGGGGACTGCAGAGCTTTCCTTAACCTACAGGACAGCAAATAACATACTGAAGTGTACTGAACTTGTGTTTATAGAATGTAAAACGTGTGCTTCCTATCTTCCTGCTGTTGAAGGAAATGTTTCCATCTTATTTTCCTCCCAAAGCTTTTTAACTTCACATGCTGGAAATACAACTTCCTGTCTCGTGCCTACAGAAACAGTCATTGTGCTACGTTGAACTCAGTTACACGTTCATTTCAAGGTTTCAGACTCCTCTGACTGTACAAAAAGTTAAATTATGTAAATAAATGATTATAAAATCCAACTGTTACATTCTGATGATGTTTACTCTGTTTACTTTTCTAACTACATTACTGCAGAAACATGTTCAGACAAGCTCCATATTTAGGTATTTGTGATGCTAGTTATATTTGCAGTTTAAAGATTTTGTCGCACTAGTTGTATCATGGATGTCTGGATTTGGTTCAGTTATCAGACACTTGCGGTGGAGCAGGTTTCTCCATACTGCACAGGAACCCTGTAAATGTTGGTGAATTAAACCGTCTCACCTCTTGGAGGCGGAGCCAAAGATGGGATACACCGCTGCAGATTCTGTGGAGAAAAACACAAAATATTTGAATTAAAGCTTTAATGGAACAAGTTTTAGTAGAAGGTGGGCTGGATAAAGCAGTGGGGGGCTCAGTGGATACTGGAACTGTTAAAGTGTGTGGCTGTGTACCTTTGGGTGGGCTGGCAGCAGCACCGGTGGGACTTATATCACTCAGGTCAAAGACGGGCTCAGAGACATCGTCTGTCGGAGAAACATCCTGGAAGAAGTAAAGTCAACATCATTATTATTCAGTCAGAACTGTCGACAGTAAACTGAAGTTAGGACAATAAATAATCCTGTACAACCGTGTGTGTGTGTGTGTGTGTGTGTGTGTGTGTCCTGTACCCGGGTAATGAGGGACTCTATGGATGCAGAACTCGAGGTTGGACTTCTTGTCAACACAATCCTCAGCTGCCTGGTGATCCCGTATTTCTCTGACAGCAGTTTAGGAGAGCTGCAGGAAGAAGATGATGGTTATTGACCGCCTGGAACAATTCTTCTCCCCCCTTCACACAGGACATTTAAACCAGATTAAATATGATGTTTTGTCTTGTTTGGACTTTTAAGAATATGTTAGTTAAGGTTATTCTTTTGTCTCATTTAGTGGGGGAACATTCGGGAGCAGTAAAGCACCTTAATGGCTGCTGTGGAGTTTCAGGCTGCTCGTCCATCCAGTCTGACGGATCAAACTTTGGTCTCTGTTTGGTGATCGGCTGCTTCTCTTCTGCCTCGACCTGCTGGACGAGGGTCTGCAGGAAACAACCAGGATAAAATAACATCAACGTCATGTTAACATGACACTAACTGCACCTGGAAACTCAGTAAAATACCACTGTAACAGCTCCGGTGTGTGACTCAGCTCATCAAACTAAACACTACTTGACTAACAAATTAACAGCATGTTAGTTTCAGCTGCTTGAGGAAGACAGATATCCATCCTCTGTGACACATGAAAGAGACAATGTCTGTCCTTGTATGCCTTAAATATAAGATAATATATTATATGTTGTATGTATTGAGAATGGCCTTATATTAATTAACTTGATATAATTAAAACTGATAAGGATCTGTGTACATAAACTATTAGTCAGAAGGCCAAGTGCTCACTCAGTGTACATATGTAGCAGGTCCATGGGAACCTTAAGGTGCTCTGGAAGATGATAAATAAAGAAGTTTATACAGAGTAACCTCTCTCTTTGCTCTGCTCGAGAGCGCCTGAAGACTCTTTCCTTTTCTGTGAAGTCTTTTGAAACCTTTAAAATCATCAAAAGGTGAGCTGGGTAGAATTTGGGAGCGACCCACAAACTGACATAAAAAAACCGTTAACTATGTTGGACACAAACACTGCAGAGTATAAAGCAACACAATGTCTCCTCTCACCTGTGCAGGAGGTTTCTGCTGTTGGCTCATCGTGGGAGCAGGCGGCTTTGACTTCTCACTCTTTGTCTGTGGCAGGACGGCTTTGTTCTTCACCGGGACTGAAGCCGGCCTGGTTGAGGATTTTGGTGCAGATTTCTTGTACATGGACGTCGGTTTCTTCCCCGTCCCGAAGAAAGCGGCTCCTACAAAGATCTTGGGTTTGGGCTTCAGGCTGCTGAAAGTGATGGTGATCGCTTTCTTGGACTCTGTCGGCTTGGTGCTTCCGGCGGGAGCAGCCGTCACAGTAGGCAGCGGTTTGGCAGCGTTACTGCTGAATTAAATGATGGTTAAAAGATAAATTCTAACTAAAACAACAATAATGCCTGATGTGACTACGATGGAGACAAACCTGCTGTTCAGTTTAGGCAGTTTTATCGTCCTTGAAGCGGTCGTATAGCTGTGGATGGTCATCTTCCCCGCAGCCGCCTTCTTTGGCTTTCTGACTCCTTTAACGTTCTTCTTTGTCTTCTTCTTCTCCTGGGAAGGAGGGGAAGGAAGAGGAGGGGGAGACGGAGGAGACGGCAGAGACTCCTTGATCGCCTTCCTCTCTAGTGGTGTGAGATAGATGGACTTCTTCTTGCCATAGAAGGAGCTCGTAACCATGGATGGTTTGAAGGGAGACTTACAGGGTGATACAGCTGCAGAGTTTAGGGGGAAAGAAACAAAGATTGTAAACATGTGAGAGAAAAGAGAGATATAAGAGTCATCTGCAGTCCTCAATAACCTTAAAGGTTACTCCCTACCTGTAGGTCTACGTGGGGATTTCTGTGGCGAGGCACAGTTCTCCTTTTCCGGGCGACCGACTGGCCTCTTCCGGGGGGATCTCCTCTTCACGGGCGACATCTCCTCCCTCACTCCCTTCTTGGCCGGGTGACTGGAGT